GGAAGCTCTTCTCTCCAGAGTCACATTTTGAAAGCTCAGCTGGACGTGGAAGTCTAATCAGATTATGGATCAACTAGGAAGCTTTGGAGAGTGTTGCGTGAATGTGTTCTGCAGCTTGGCCATTTCTGGTATCAGGCAAACTGCTCATTTGGTCTGATAATGGTGTACCCCAAAAGCCACTAGTCCTATCCACACTGATTCTACACTGAGCCACTGTCACCTGAGAGACAGTCGTACGTGTCCAGTCTGGGGTGGTGTCACAACCAATAGCTGGAAGCAGACAGCTAGGGAGGCAGAGAACAGGCCAAACATAGCAATACTGCCCTGAATGCATTTCCAGCCTTTAATGATGCAGGGTATCTGAGGCTACACTAAATAGCCCATCATGGATTTAAAAAAATTTTTTTTTCCCTTTGTAATCAGTCTCAAGTCCTGACCATCCTGCCCTGGATCTTTTCCAGTTCCAATTAACTCAAGGCCTTCTGCTGCTCCTCCAATTTGCAAAGGAGTGTTGAAAAATAATAATATTAAAATGTAAGCCAACTTGACCAGGCCTGGATAAAGTTTCCATCACGTTCTTAAAGAGTTATCTATGACAATGTAGGAAAAATTAAGTCATAGCCTTGAAGAAGTAGGAAACACCAAGTAAGGTGGCTTTTTCCCACTCAGCAGCTAGGGCAATGTGGGAAGGAAGGCAGTTTCAGCCAGACCATTTTATCTCTGAGACCAGATGGCTTTAAATGCTTCCCCAGAGCTTGGAAAGGGCCAGGCACTGCTTTGAATTGCTTTTCATACCACCTCCTTAGTAAGTAAAATGAAAGAAATGAACAATCTATAACTTTGTGGCAACGGGAAACAGCTCTGTTAATCCCATTTCCTTCCCCAAGCTTACTCAGGGCAGGTCATCCAGCATCAGGGCCACATCACCTAATTTGCTTATCATTGCCCCACAGTCAGGAGCGTGGGCACCAGCTCAAAGGGCAGATGCATCCTCCTGGGCATTATTAATAAATTGGAAAGGTCCAGGTTGTTAAACCTGCCCCCGTGCATAATTGCGACACTCTTGGCACCCAGCTTCTGCTTGCTGCTGCAGATCCAAGGAGTGGCCTCCTGAGCTCAGGAGGAGCCAAAGAGCACTGACAGGTCCTCATCCATGGCACCCAGGCTCACCATGCCACCCAGTTCCCTGCCAGCCCTTTCCTTCTGCCTCCCTCTCCCACGGGAGCACTACATCTTCTCACAGAGAACCTCCACTTTGTGTCCAGCTGGAAAGGTGTCCAAATGCAGCCTCCTGAAAGAGTCAGGACTAGAAGGTTTCAGGCTTTTAGCACTTGTTCCTGGGTCCCACAGCAGAAGGCAGCTTTGGGCAACACATCAGGCAGACAGCATTTGGGTCTGTTGGTTGGACCCACAGCTCCAAGGGTAATAACGAGTGTCTTGGCACAGAGTCAGTGGCTGGAGTGGGGTAAAAGTTATAAAAGTTAAAGCAACAGGAAAGGAATCAGCAACCCCTAGCTTAGTTTCTCAGATGAAGAGTGCCAGATTTTAGCAAACTGCTAGCTGCATACAACAAAACTAGATGTCCCTGTTCTGGAGCTATGCATAGCTGGCTGTCAGCATTGCTGCCCTGCAGACATGGCTGGGGACATGAGCATCTGGCTGAGTCCAACCC